TTTTTTTCTTTCCAAGTCTGTTACCTCAAATCTGGTTTTATTCCTTTTCATCTTCATTTTTAACTTCAGAAAACAGACATGTTTCTCCCAAGGGAACAATTAAATGTGTTTTCTTTCAAAATCTAAAGGGCATGGTGAGCAGGCTGTGTGTTCAGCAGGCTACTTTAATCAATGGAACCCATCCAGCCTACCACTGCTGACCAAATTGCAATTTACATCAGTAGAGAAAACTTTTGAAATGGGAAGTTGTGGGAATATAATACCATTTCTGGCACAACACAGCATGAAGGGTGATATGTGGTTTAATGGTTTTCTAACAAGCTTTTGGAAAAAGATTTGAAACATTAAAAAAAAAGGCAATGAGACAGTAAAATTTCAAGGTCTACTTAAACAGTGAAATCAATGCTATCTGTGCAGGACCTCTGAAGTCCACATGACACTTATGTCTCATTTAAGCCTTTTTACAAGGATTTAAGAGAGGCCAGACCTCKCAAGGTACCCTCCCTCATCCCCATTGTGCTCAGGCATCTTTCCTCACATATGTACATATGAATTTATGTCAGGTAAGACTAGTAGTATAAAAAAAAAAAACAACCTTTTTGTTTAAAAAAAATCCCAAACAAATAAACTGAGGGCAACTGTAATTAGAGACCTTTTTTTTTGTTTCCTTAAAAATGGGTTTWATATGGGTTTTATGAGCTCACCTGTCTCCTAACGTTAAAGATGCATATTTTTGCATATGATGAATAAAACAGAATGCATTTTTTTTTCTAGATGGCAAGAAGAGACAAAGAATATCAGAACAGTTAGGGAGAAAACTAATTATGTTGCGCACTGAGAAATTTAGCATAGCAGTAGTACCACTGTCTCTTTCAAGACGAGTAGTTACAGCAAGAAGACCCAGCCTATTTTCCCAGACTGAATAAGCCCTGCAGATTGCTGAGGTTAACAGTTTTGTACATACTTAATTTCATAGTTATTCTTTGCAAATCTTACAGGAAGGTTTTAACATTATGCAAAGAGACAGTGCCTCCAACCAAGTGTACATGGGCTGTTCACTCCCGTTGCCTGAGAGAGCCACRGAGAACTAGAGGAAGAAAAATGCTGCTGTGCTTATCATACAAGAGCTCAGTTTATTTGTGCTATAAATAAAAGTAGATCTTGATAGCGTAATTACATTTCTCAGCATTATCCTTTGCCATTCACTTCAGAAAGAAAAAAGAAAGGGGAGAAAAAGTTCGSTTCACTATAATTTGTAATCAAAATGACTACACTTAAAACATAATTTTATTTCCCTGATTCCATTTCCTGTGGAGCTTTGTGGGGCAAATAGATAATATTATACAAAATCTGCAGGCAGATAATTCTCCATACGTTGCACTGTCATTGTCTAGATCACTTTCCTCTCCTTGCCTTGCTTTCCTCAAGACATGGGCTGTTGTTTTGATACTGCATTTTATTATTGAGGGATACATCAGCATCAGAAATACCAGGGGTGAATCAACTTTTGCTTTCTCTAGTTTCTCTCTCCTGCTCCCCCAAAATTACTCTTCCTTGCCTTAATTCACTTTTTATACTGCTAGGTTAAAAAAAAAAAAAAAAAAAAAAAAAAGGTGGTTTCCCACTATGAAGGATTAGCACAGATTATGGTGAACAGTGTTAATTATAGGTGAGGAAAAAGAATAGTGCATCTCTCCAATCTGTTCTTGATTTCCCCCGTGTCTGTCTGTCTGGTAATAAGCCTCCTTTAATCTGGCAGTCCCCTTGGTGAAATCAGCGCCATGGACAGCAATATTGATTGCTTCTGAGAAACCATCACAGCTGCTCAACCAAATTACCTTTGATATGTGACCTTTAATGTAATTACTGCAACATCAAAGCATTTCTATAAATTATTAAAGAACTAATATACTTCATCATCCAGCTACTCTATTATATGTAAAATAAACAATCACAAGTAAACACTAGAATTTGAATTGTCCAACAATCACAAAGTGCTCTTTACAGATACATGCACACTCTGCTWCATTAACCTTCCATCTCAGGCAAAACAATTCCAAACTCTCCAAAAGAGCCTAATTCATTCATTCAGAGGAAGAGAATCCACATGATAGTTTTATGTTTTACATTCCATTCTAGTTGCTTCAAAATATCTATCATGATTCCTTCCTACCCAAAAACAAAGTGCCATAAAGACTTTATTAATCAACACATACCTGCTTGGAAGTCTTTTGATTATTCCACAAGATGAGTTTATGTCCTACGTATAACACAGAAATATGTGAAACATATTTCTGTCACCTTACAAAGCACATCCAGAAAGTAATTACTGTAAAATATGTGCATGTAGCCACTCCACTAAAAACAAAGTGATACATAGCTGAGAGGCAAGGYATCTGAATCTGGACAAAACCTCCTCATGCCTCATCATTTCCATACATTAACATTCATGTGCATACTATTAAAAATTACTCAGTTCTGTGTTTCATAATAACAAAGAGCACAAACAGCAATATTGCAAGAGTGGGAAAATGTACAGTTTACTGGGGAATGGGAAAGAATGGCTCAATCAAGTACTATTTATTTTTTCCTACACCATGGCTGTTAATTGTTTTTGGTAACTTCTCAGTTGTGCTGCTTGTGTCACAGACAATGGAGTGCCAAGAGAAGATGTTATATATGTGTCATTTGTGAACTTATGTGAATAAGGACTTAGACCCCTGACCTTAAAACTGCTTCTTATTTTATGGTGATGAACTATGGTTGATATTTTTGGTGCATGTTATCAAGAACAGTCAGGTAAGACATAAATAATTCTCTGCTACTCAGATAGGAACCATAAAACAGTATCCAGGCATGATAGTTTATCAAGAGACAAGACTGGTTTCCTTAAATAAACTACAGTGACATCATTCAGAGGATGAGTTCAGAAACTTGGCAGAAAGCTGCATGCAGAGGGTTTGCTGGTGGAAAGTAAACCTTTATCCTGAGACAAATAGAAATGGAAATGAAAGGGAAGGGAAAATCAGAGTTCAGAACTTTAAGAAACCTGGCTGCTCTTTTAGAAAGAGGATTCATTGTTCCCAAATCAATCAGATCCTGATATGTCTCCTGAAAGCGCAAAAGGGGAAAAAAATAAAAAGCTTTCTAGAGCTAATGTGGCCAGTATGGAGTATTTGTAACAGAAATTTCACAAAACAAGGAAGAAATTGTTTCCCTCTAGTCYAGAATCAGTCAGTGCAGCATTTGAAGAAAGACTTGTCCCTAAAGCAAAAGCTAGTAGAATTTTGRCATTGTCCAAGACAACAGTTTTAAGAGTTTTGTGATTTGAAATCTCTAAAACAGAGATTGAGATTCAGAACTATGGATGTGTAAAGAATTTGGAAAAAAAAAAAAAAAATCCTTAATCATTACTTGCCCTCTCCAACTCTGGGTCCTGAATSTCACAGACCCACTGTCTTCTTGAAAATATTACTGTCATACAATTTCAGGATGGGATTTTTAACCTCAGAGAGAAGATAGAGTTCTATGTGCAAGTAAATGGTCTGACTCCTAATGAGAAGAGAAAACAACCTCTGTGGATATTCTGGAATTTCAATTAATCTCTTTTAAGYACACAACCTCCTATTCATCACACCTCTGGTTTTGATAAATACATATTTGATTTCAAGCATATTTTAGAAAATTTCAGTTAATATGTTACCTGAAACACCCTTATTCAACATATTCTCAGTTTTTGTACATCCAGAAAAGAGAGAAGAAAAAGGAAACATTGGAAGGGAGAGGGAGAAGAAAAACCCCCCACAAGACTGAAGTTACTTTCAATCTGCTGCTAAGGAGTTTCTGGAAAAAAAAAAAAATAATTCAGAGGGAGTTGTCAGCTGACAGAAATATTTTTAGGGAATGAAGTATGTATATATTTGCATAAGGTATGGCCTTTTAAGCAAAGATAGATGTAGATGAGCAAGTGCGTGGGCATCTCCATACTGGCAAGGTGGCTTAGAGATAGGTAAATAGAGCCAGGATGATGGAAACAAGCAGAGCAGAATCAACACTTTCCTCAGAACACAGAGCAAAGATGCGACTCAGGTCTGGTGGAAAGGTAGGTTATAGCTACACAGGAATCAATCATTCAACGACAGATAATTAAGACAGATTTTTGGATAGATTTCCTCTCAGTTTAGATGCAACCTGGAGCCCTCAGAAGCCCACTTTTGGTTACTCCATCACCGACTTGTGTCTCATTGAGAAACCAGCCCCATTCCAACCGCAGCAGTTCTTGGCTGCTCCCAATCCACGTACTCTGGCTGAATCTGAATAGTCTCTCCCTCTCCACCGGGTAACTGCTAAACTAGAAACCCATCCCAGCAGGGCAGGTCTTCCCCACATAATGCTGATTCTATTTTTAGTTCTGCTTGTGTTGTCTGAACCTTAGATCTTGCTCATGTGAATAATTTTCCTCATTATCTCGTGCGCGTCTTTCCTCTCTCTCTTTTCTCCTTGTCTCACCGCCTTTCCAATCTGCTACAGCTGCTTGAATACTAAAGTAACTGAGTCAAACCACTTTGTCATCAGGAATATGTTTTCATTCTGTGATAACTCAATAATGTGATCTGTTTCTTGATTTCTTGCTGCCAAACCTTGCTTCAAAGAAGAAAAATAGTAGGAGGAAGCACCTGGTGAGGACTTCTAACATTTCAGTATAATGGTCAGAATCCTAAAGCACTTCCTCAGCTGGTAGAACCCAGTCCACAACCAGCTGATTACTGTTTTCCTGACTCCCAGTAAGGGCAAAAAGCTTTTAGTGTTGTGCATGGAAACCGTTTGGGTGGGTTGGTGGTATCTTGATTTTATTAGCACAATGCAAATAGTGAATCATCCAAACAAACGGAGACTTTTTGCTTCCAAATCTGAGATGAGAACACCATATGAGGAAAATTTTAGGTAAAAAAAAAAAAAAAAAAAAAAAAAAAAAAGAAGAATTATCAGTCTGGACTCACCCCCGGCAGTGTCTTCTGTTCATGCAGTGCGCTCTGGGCCTTTAGAGCAGACTCCCTTTCGCAGTATGTTAGGAAGGCACAGCCTGAAAACAAAGAGAAAAACCTCAGTAACTATTTCAGAGAAGATCCTTCAGAAATTGAGACATAGAACAAACCACTTTCCTGTCATCATCCCATTCCCAGTAAATCAATCATAAAATTCTCTCCTTAGTATGTCAGTAGGAAGGAGTCAAGAAATGAAGCTATCATGGCTTCCTCTGAGCCCTGGTGGAAAGYGAGCAACAGTGTACCTGTGAGTGCTTATTTTTCCTTGAACACRTGCTGAAGTGTCAGACACAGAAGGCTGCACAGGATCAGGGATCTCTAAGGTTCCACACCATGGTGAGGTGGGGTATGAGATCCCACTCCTGCCCCAGCAGCAGCACTGAGAACAAACCCCTACTGACATATGCTGAAAGGTCTCATTTCCTTCTTTTGCACCAAGTACTTTATGTGAAGGGTATACAAGGACCTGGGACTTCCTGCTGCAGAGGAATACTTCTATTTAGCCTGACCTCTACCAAAAAGTAGTTGCTCTGTTTGCATCACACCAAGAAGCCACCACCCTTCACTGGCTACTGCCAGGACTCATTGGCTTCCAATCACCAACACAATCATGCCAAAGCCCACATAATCGCTCCAAAACATTCCTGATAAACAGATCATTTGAACTTCAGAGATACACCAAAGGGTTCTATCTTTGCTTCTTCCAAAATGTTGTTTTGTCAACTACAAAGGCTGAAGCCCTGTCAAGGTAGAGCCCTGCTCTGCCTTCTTTCCCCACTCTGTGCTCGTCTTCTGGGAAAACTGGTTGATGTTGCAATATCTTACTCCAGTTGTGTGTCTGATCTGATCAAATTATTCCTTCTTACTGCAGTATACTGAAAACCTGCCAGTTCCTGCAGCAAAAAAAAAAAAAAAAAAAAAAAAAGTGCTTGTTATGCAGAAGACATTTTCTCTGAAATTACTACAGAATGTCTCCAGCTCCTTGAAATGGAGGTATCACGTCTTTCAAGGTTCAGGCAGAATGTCCCTCAAACTGAGAGTGTCTTTCAAAAGCAGCACAGGTACAGAGAGAATACCAAAGAAACAAACAAGTCCCATAACCTCATCTTGACCCACCTCTCTCCAAGCATATATTAAATGTGTAACACGTGAGCTAAAAGTAAACTGTAAACTTTTTTTCAGCTTTAATTGCCACTGAAATTGCATTTTGCCCATGCAATATTCACTGTTTTTCCCAAACAGGTTCTTTGGATAATATTACTGAAGATATGCACTCTTTTATGTACTTTTACTAGATTACATATAGGAAAACAGGAGATTTTTTTTTCTATAAAGATACATTTTTTTCTCAAAGATAGTCTGTGGAATTCACCATACTCCTCTCACAATGAAGCTATGATATGCCATGAAAAAGAATAAAAAAGAACAACTTCTTCACTATGTTTTACCCTGTATTACTTTCTGGATGTCTTGTTACTTTCAGTTTATTCAAGCCAATCACGTTTATTATGCCTCAATAATTGAGACTCAGAAGCAGAAGGTGACAATCAAAACAGGAGGCTGAGCATCATCAAAAGTTTGTGTGCTTGGAATTATTTTGATTTGTTCCCCTCTAACTTTAAATGGATAAATTTTCAGTTAGTCTGTATCTACCAAAGAAAAGGAAGAAATCGTGGCAAACAGTTTACAGCTGGCAGGAGTAATGGATTGAAAAGGATCCTTAAAAGTCACCCATAGCCTGATAATCAAATGGGAAACTATGCTTAAATTTAATTTCAGTGCTAAATCACAGGCTGAGAGCTCTCTGTTTACTAGACACAATAAGAAAGTCTCCCTTTAGTAGCAGACGTGGAGCAGCTGATACAGTCTAATTAGGCACATCATAGCACACTGTTATAGAGATAAACTATGCAGTGTAAAGCTCTCATAATGATAGCTATATTTTTCTCCTCATTGTGATTGCCATGATGACAGTTCAGGGTAACAATGTCCTGCAGCTCCTACTGTACCACGACTGTAATTCAGACCGAGTGAGCTGGAGATGACTCCTCTCTGAAGGTGTAAATATTCTGACCAAGATCCCCACTAMGTGTGTGTGTGTGGAGGCAAATCCTCATCAGGGAGAAAACTCCATTAAGTCTTCTCCAAACTTATTGTCAAAAGTGGTAGACGTGCCAAAGTCCCCAAAACAGCACTTAGGATGCATCCAATTATCACTGATGCACCAAACACATATTAAGGACAAAAAAAAAAAAACTTTGAAATGAAAAAGAAACCTTCTCTCTCATACGATCAGACAAAAACCTCCTCCTGTTTTCCAGGGACAAAAAAAAAATGCTCTGTGGAAGTGTTTCTTTTTCCCTTTCCATTCATATATTATGCACAAAAATTACAATCTATCCCACACTTGTTGGCCAAAAAGTAATATCTTTATGAAAAATAATATCTCATTTATTTTAAGCAAGACTTGGTTGCTTAGAGACAGCAAGAAGTTCCATCCCAGCAGTGGCCAAATGAAATAAAATAGAGATTAATGTTCATGACAAGCCTCAAACCTGAACTTGAAAAGGACAGTTCATGGGGATTTTTTGTYTTCCCTTTACTTACAATAGGATTTCTTTGTAAGGTACATATACAGCATTAACACTAAAACAGTGTTTTTCAAAAGCATGGCCTCTTATAAAACAATATATCTCTATTATTTCACCCTGTAAGAATTTCTTTATTTCACCTCCTTATGCATCAGGATGAAAGACAATACTCATTCTTGCACACCCTGCCCACCTCCCTGAAACATCAAAATTGATCTGTGCTTCGTATTGTGATGTTTAATGGAATGACAGCTGTGAAACCTCTTTCAGGTGTCACTTTTCTTAGGCTACCTCTTTCAAAGTGCCTCCATGTGACCCCTCCAAAGGACTCTTCCTTSCTGGAGGATGCTGCTTAGAGAAGACAACACTGGACACTGCTTAACACCAGGGAATTAAGCACTTTAAAAAAACAAGTCTTGAAATAATGTCATATGGAGCAGCTACRCTGGCATTTTTGCAGGCAAAATGAAACGGTGGAAAAAAATTGTGTTTTGTTTTGGTTTGAATTTTTTTTTTTTCGTTTTTTCATTTTGATTTCCCAGATGGAACACAATTTTGGAACAATCAATTTTCCCTGCTGAACCTTATGATTGTGTACAGACCACTTATTTAATTGGAAAAAAAAAAWTTTCTTGATAACGAACTACTAAGTAGCTAAACTTAACTGCTCTCTTGCCATCAGCTGTTTGGTCTAGGAGTGAACATTTCCGGCTGAAAGTTTTCATATTCCAYTAAAAATCACTTGCACCATCCAGCCCCTTTGAATTGCCCATGTTCAGCAGTATAATGAACATTTCTCGCCACATCTCTTAAGTAAGGATGGTGTGAGGGCAATGCATTAYTTCTGTCACCTATTTCTATGGGTCGTAGTGACTGAGTCAGTACAATACTCAAGAATTATATCTGAATTTGAACAAAAATTCTAATTGACTAATTATTGATAATGAGGAACTCACTCCAAACTGTTCCCAATTTTAATTCCATTTCTCTCAAATATGCCATGCATTCCAGACATATGTCAGTCAGCTAAAAGATGCTTTATTTGGATTGTGTCTTTCCAGCTGTTCATTTGCTACCAGTGGGCAGCTTTTTGGGCAAGCATATAAACATCTGGAAACTCCTAACTGCCAATTAATTCTGAACYTATTGAACTACAATCTCTTGGAAGCATGAGGAGACATTAAGTTGTCTCCTGGGAAATAGGTTCGCTAAAGAAAAGGTGGGAAACAAAAACAAAAGCTTGAGATGGGGAAAAAATTACAAAAGCTCTATTCTAATTTAATCTCCAGAGATTTCAATAGTGTAAATAATAATTGTATGAGATACAGATGGATAATGATTGTGGTTACGGCAACTTCAGCTTCACAGTAAGTCTCCAGAAGATTTGGCAGAAGCTTGAGAGGCAAAACTGTCAGGAGACACTCTGTGAACAGAATAATTCCAAAAACCGAGAGCCAGTCACGCTGCCTGAGTTGAAGAAGRCAAAGGCAGGGACTGGGAGAATGGAGAACAACACACTTCAGTGGATTGGGTCTGGGACCATCTAAGGAATCTGAAGGTTCATAAGTCCATGGAACCTGGTCAGATGAATCCATGGGTCCAGAGGGAACTGGAAGGTGAAGTGGTCAAGCCACTGTCCATCATATTTGGGATGGGCAGAGCAGTGAAGTACTCACTGAATGGAAAAMRGRAAAAAATACCTATTTTTAAAAATAGAAACTAGAAAGACCCAGGGCTATATTGGGCAGGATCATGGAGCAGAGGCTCCTGGAAGCATGCTGAAGCACATGAAAAATAAGGATGTGTTTGGTGACAGTCAGCATGGCTTCACAAATGGCAAATTGTTCCTGATAAACTTTGTAGCCTTCTATAACAGGGTTGCAGCCCTGGTGGAAAAGGGAAAAGCAACTGACACCATACACCTGGATTTGTGTAAAGCATTTAGCATTGTGTCACACAACATCCTTGTCTCWAAARTGGAGAAAAATGGATCTTAGGGATGAACCAGGGGGATTGGCTGGATGGCCACATGTGAAGGGCTGCTGCCTACGGCCCCATGTCCACATGGAGACCAGTGACAAGCAGTGCYCCTGYTCCTCAGGGTCTGCTATTTGGATTRGTGCTGTTTAACATTAACRTTGCTGACAACAYGGRTTTGAGTGAACCTTCAGCATGTTTRTGGACAAGAAATTTGKTTTGTGGCRCAGTYGACACCCTGGAGGGAAGGGATGCCATCCAAAGTGATCTTGGCAGGCTTGTGAGGATSCCATGCAAATATGGTGAAGTTCAACAAGACCAAGTGCAAAGTCTTTTACCCATTTTGGGACAAACCTAAGCACAAACACAGATTGGGCAGAGAATGCTTTCAAAGAGAAGCCCTGCTGAGAAGGACTTGGGAATGTTGTTTGATGCTGGCAATGAGTGCTGACCACCCAGAAAGCTGACCA